TATAATTAAATAATAGTTAAAATCCATAATAATTAGGCTTTAATCTATTGAATTAAGAAAACCAAATGAAGCATTCTTGAAATTAATTTACTCTGCTTAGTATCATTGTCAAGAAAATGTAAGGAGATTATGAGAATAAAGTTTAAATCTTCCACTAATTTGATTATTATACTTCTTGAACTTGGCTTGTTTCCCTCGATTTACAATTACGGACCCATTCCCTCCCTTCTTCCCCCTTATTTTCTTTCTTTTTATTAAGATTTGTAAGAAAGATAAATATAAAATTATTTGCTAGATAAATGAGGATATTACTAATTTAAAATCAAAATTTAGAGTTCCAAAGGTGTGAAGGTTTTGTGGCCACCATATATAAAAGGAGACATGGTGGTCTTCCTCAACTTATCTCTTTGGTTAGTTTAGTCTTTTACCTTATCGTTTTTGTTTGTTTCCTTTAGTGGGAATCTTACCATACCTCTCCAGCATTCCAATATTTTTTTTTCATGATTTTTTTTCCGATAATACCCTAGTTAAATTACCCTTTAATTGTTTGGCTCTAGAAGCTCTAGGTAGAGCCTAATTCCACATGGTTTATGATCAATCAAAACACCTAAAAATTTCAAGATTATCTCTAAATCTAGTCTAAAGACATATCTGCAACCTGAAAGAGAATTTTTGACTTATTTAATCCCTAATATTCTTTTGTCTAAAGAAAAATCTTTAATTTTGAGTTTTTGTCTAGATTGATTCTTAGCATGATTTATTCTGATTCTAAGTTTTTGAAAAAAAAAAATTAAAAAAGCTTAAAAAATCGTAAAACTTTACATAAGTTAAATAGACACATTACTCTAAGATTTTCAATGGATTTCAAGTCCTTAGATTATCAACGCCAAGAAGTTAAACAAGGAGGGTCCATATGCCTCCAAAGTTAAACATAGTATTTTCTTGTAAGGTGTTTCTAATTTATCTTACAAAAGTCTTAGTCTATTCTATGTGAAAACCAACCACTTCTTACAACCCCATGTTGGAAATAAAAAAAGGTTTTTTAGTGAAGGATTTCTGGTAAAGTTAACATATGGGAAGAATTATATAAAAGTAAGCATGAAAAAGAGTAAAGGCACCCACTAAGGGTTTATAATCAAAGGGTCAAGAATTATGGGTTCCTTGCAAGAGAGAGATTTCAGGTGGATGTTGAAGAACCTGACTCATGCATGGGATTAAGCATCAAAAGATAAAGTGAAAAGAAAAACACATGTGGAAAGATTTTGAATGGCATTAAGGCATTAATCATGCAAACTTGTAATCATGTGGAAGAAGCAAAAGCAAATGCTATGTGATTGAAAGAATGGGTTGGTGACTCTCATCGAGGGATGATAAAGAAAATGTGTGTATATGGCTAAGGAGGTGATGGTGGGGAGACTTATGGGCATGAAAGAATTCTTATGTGGAGGAATTTATAAATCAAGAAGAAAAAATTAGAAGTGAAGGCACTTAATAGTAGGGGTTTAAAATAGTAAACTCTAGTGACGCATTTGCCATGCCTAGGTTGTATAAGAAGTTGACCACGTTGAGGATATTGATAGACCTGCATACCTAAAATTAATGGGTGATAGAATGATTTTTCTATACCCTATTTTATATTGTATAGAAGTAAAAATATTTGTATAGAGGAACTTCAACAATAAGAGGCATAAAAACCTATGGCGTGGATTTAGAAATGATGCATGAGAGGTCAGCTGATTTTGGTACTTAATGAAAGTAATTAATATTATAGGGATCAAAATGATGAATATGGAAGGATTTGATCCACTTGACTGCTAAAGTGCAAAAGAGAGAAAAATTACATATAGAAAAAGTCAATGGGCCAATGGCTAGCAAAGAGCCGACATATGTTAATGAATTGTATGATGAAATGAATTCCAAGGTCTTTGTTGATGGATTATGGGAGGGTTCAAAGTCGTGTGATAATGATTAATATTTGTTGATGAATTAAGAAGTGAGTGATAAGTCGCCAAGTTCACGACTAGTTGGATATCAGTCAGTAGCTTACTAAATGACCCAAATGGCATAGAAGTGCTAACAAATCAAAAGCATCACATGAACCAAAGAGATAATAAATATGTTAAATATATAACCCATAGATCTGAAACTTTTCATTGGGTCATATTGGATGGTTGTTTGCTAATGCTTAGTCAACAGTTAAAAAGAGAACTTTTATTTTGGAATATCAAGAAAAATTGGATCATTAGGATATGTATAAGATCACTTTAACATCAACCAAGTTTAAAAAAGAAGTCCAACACTCTTCCCACTATACTAAGACTCACTACTTTGCTTATTCTCATCATACGCTTTATTCACTCCAAAAAACCTCTAATGTGGGCTTACACATTGCTTATACAACTTAAGACTAAGAAAAAATTAATTGATATGAAAGTATTCCCTTATAATCCACAATTTATGATCCCCGTTCATGAAATTATTCACTTGCAATAACATCCTAGGGTAAGCAGTTACTTCAAAGTTCAACTCAACATCTGTTAACCAATAGAAGAGAATGATTGATCCTATCAGCAGTTGTTAGCTTCCAATGTTTCTATATCTTTGGCCATTATTTTTTAAGCTATTCACTATGAATCCTTTTTGATAACTTTGAAAAAATTAACATGTAAATGCTTTATCAATTTTCTTGATAATAGCACAATTTTAATACATGAAAATTTATGAGAACTTTCATATATAATACGCTAGGAAAAAAAGAGTCCCTTTAAATGATTACATTACTAGGTTTACCCATTTAATGCATGATATTATTTGTTTTAATATCTTATTTTGTAAGATAGCTCTACGTTATGGTTGAAAGATTTACCTTATAATTATGTCATAATGAAGAATCTTCTATAAATGATGTCTAATTTCAATTAATACAAGGCATCAAAGTATAACATTATTAAGGAAATACTACCTTTCACTCCATCCTTTTCATCTTATATGGAGCACTCATGGAAGAATTATAAATGATCATTGCTCGATTAACCCAACTATCTCTATCATTATGATGGATATTATAGTAACCATCATGATGTTCATGACAATTATGACACTTGTGACTTATGATCAATAGAAGTGCAAAGATTGATATTTTGGTGTGATTGGCACTCAACGTCCACTCATGCCAAGATCGTTATCATAGGTCAAAATAAGAAATAATTAGAACATTCGGTCACAATATGCACTCTTACTAGCATCTACAAACACAAATTTCTACCCCTGCCAGAACAACCAAAAGCATGAGAAGCCTTCACTATATAACCTCAATTAGATAAATCTTAAGAAGTTTTTGGTTTGATTCTCATCCCACTTGTTTGATGTGCATTATTGGCCATGTTAGCTAGCCAGTGGCACCCCTCGTAAATCAAGTTGAACCAACATATGCCAGCATCATTGATAGAATTACTACATTAAATAGAGAGTTTGGTCCCAATGCCAACCTTTGACACTGTCATATTAAATGACTGATAGGTAAATGTATTACCATCTTGTTCTCATCATTAATAACGGCGCTCCTACCTCCCGCAACATCCACAATGTGCGATAATTATCCAACATCATAAACCACTATGACAATTTTTAAATCCTTTATTATTTCCATTTTCTTCATCTGAAAATAAGTGTCCATCTTCCATAGAAGCTAATTCTAGCATATAAATAATATTTGATACAAAAGGAGATCCACATGATATTTCCTTCAATCATTTCATAACTCCACATAGCAAAGAAAGCCTCAAAACACTAACATCATCACAAACTATAAATACAATAAGATTAATTTAGTTACCTGAATTTAGCAAATATGATTTAAAAAATGATGATCAAATAAATACACTATTTCCTAAAGAAATTTTCCAGAGCCCTAAAATAGAAAAAGGAAACCAAATCAATCGCTTGTGAGGAATAGGAGCTGGTTGGATGCCGAGACAGGTTACTAGAGTTGGATGCCAACCTACATAATCCTCTTCTTGCTCGCCTCTCTTGCAAGGACTTGAGAAAAACAAATGGTTCCTGATAAGCTAGAGCTTCACCATGACTAAGGAATGATGTACTAATTACTGTAATTGAGAGCACGAGTATAAACAAGATTGCTTTCATTTTTGGAACCTTAATTAGGTAGATCATGCCAATTGAGCGCTGAACTTTTGAAGTTATGCTGCAGAATTTCAATCAGTTCTCAATGATCTCTCACTGAAGGAGCTACAAGGTTTAAATGAGGATTTGTTCTTTAGTTATCATGCAAATAAAATGATTACGAGTGGTTGCTGTGATTTCACCCACTCTAATTTGAGGCAATGTCAGCTGACCTGTAGTAACAGGGAGCCTGTACCTATGTTGCACAACTAAGATAAATGGGGAACATCATCTTTCCAGCTTTAAAATATGTAGTATTTCAACTAATTGATCATACCATGAGTTTAATTTGTATTTAAATCTATTTCATGACTTCATTTCATACCCAACCAAATAACCTTACAGAATAAAATAATAATATATTTAATTTATCCTATATTTGAAATACGCATGTATTCCAAATACTTGTAAGCAAATAGCCCAATAATGACCATTAAATATGACATGACTATAAATATTTCCAACTAGTTGAAAATCTACTTGGGAGCATATTGGTTTAGTCAATATTTCCACATGAAGCTGAATAATTTCACGCAAACAAATCCATTGTTTATTTTGTCATAAATTTGCAAAAAAACAGTCAAACCAAGAAAACTGACTGCCTTTACCATGCGAAAGATTCATTCAACACTGCAATTACTTTGTTCAAAATCAAACCACCTATTAAAGAGAAATGCAATAAAAAATGAAAAAAATTTGCATACATGCAAACAAAACAGGAGACCATGTAAAGATTGCATTTACAACAGTGCAGATAACGAAAAATTCACTTGGTAAAAAGCATTGAAAGGATAATGAAAAACTACTAAAATTTCAAGCTTTTGCTGAGGCATTGAAAAAAGGAAATTTTATCTAAACATGGTTTTAAAGAGTACCTACCAGTTATTCATCAAGTTCGAACAAGATCCATATATAGCTACAGAGTAGTTGAAAATGGATCAATTACATAGTTAACAAAACCATTGTTTACATAATCAGAGCAGGTACAGAAGTCGCATTGTTTATATACGAAAAAGACGATATCAGATCAGCTGAGGATACTGCTTTGCTTGCTGCCTAACCCGTTGTTTGTATTCCACAGGATCCTGCAAATCAATGTCCTTAGTAGACCGGTTATATATGAGCTTTACATATGCATAGACATACTTAAATTTAAATCTAATTACATATAAAAATATATCTGTAATCATTTATATATAAATGCAACAAATTTTGATCTGATGCTTAAGCTTAATCCAATGATGGATCGACTCAATTCAAGTTCAATCCGTGCAAGGCTCAACTTATTAGCTCGTTGATGTCAATCGAAGCAAAAAGCCGATCCAATTTCCAAGCAATCTTCAATTTTCAATACAAATTTTGAATCCTACTTTAAATAAGATGGTCTGGGACAGAATTTGTAACAGTTAAAAGCAAATTTTATGCCAGCTTCTCAACTCAATTTCGAAGAAAAGGAAGACTAAATTAATACCACTCAATTCTTATGCATTTACAAATCTAACATCTAAAATTCAATTTTTACACAAGAAGGTGTATTGCACTTTTTAAAAGTTAAAATAGTGGTATTTTTTACATGAAAGATTTGAGTGTAATAAATGTAAAAAGCAAAATTTAAGTCTTAGATATGTAAAAACATAAAATTTAGGTAATATTTATGTAAATGCCCCAAAGAAAATTTTAAACAAACCAGCCCTCAAAATTCCATTCAACTTCCAAAGCAAATTTTCTTAAAACTGTAGCACACAATTCTTCTATGCCAGAACGGCATTCACCAGAATTACGGCTGCAAAGCAGATAAAAATTATCACCAAAAAATGCGCACTAGGATAGGTATTGAGGCCACCTTGGAGGGCCTATTATATAACCAATTACGAGTATAAAAATGTTTCAGGGGAACTTTTGAAATGTAATTTTACAAAACCTGGATAAAAAGCTGATATCCATCATTCTGAGCAGGGTCAGCAGGATTTGGCTGATCAAGTAAATCCTGTATCCCCACAAGAATTTGCTTCACAGTGATGGCAGGTCTCCAACCCTACAAGCGTCAAACAATATACATTAAAGCATCAAAAGTTGTCTGTTGCCAAAAATTTAGAGTCATTGACTGCATAAAAGTGCACATAGAAGTGGCTTACACTATCCTCGTTCAGAATTGAAAGGCAAACAGTGCCAGAGGGGTAAACATTTGGATGGAAGAACCCTTGTGGAAATCTGCACTTGGGAGGCCTGCTTGGGTAGTCCTCACTAAACTGGAGTGTTAAGGGGTAGTGACCACCATCCCACTCAGTCTGCAAAAAGTAGTTCGCACATTAGCCGGTCCCATGCCATAAAATTGCCAAAAGTTAGATTATAAATTAGCCAAAAAGGCATGTCAAGAATATAATCATGATTTAGCTTTTTTTTTTTTTTGCCAGCTCAACGACAAGAATAGCATTATACTTTCTTCTCTTATTTTTGTTCCTTTTTATTTATTTATTTATTTTAGCAGTTCAATGAAGAAAATAGCATAGAAGTGAACGGAAAATATTCACTTGAAAATAGCATGATTCAATCAGGGAAGAATGCATAAACTAATTGCTAACAAATTGATGCAATCAAGCCATTCAGAGTGCAGTTCTAATGTTCTGAAACACCGAGCTGCAATAAGTCCGGATAACTGATTGAAGTTTTAAAGAGTAATAGAGAAATCCTCGCACAATCTCTCTTAAAAAAATATAATAGCAAATAAGTAAATCTTTCCAATGGATATGAGAATCAATTTAATGACAATAAATACAGTTAATTACAAAATTAAGTAGTTAGCTGGATTTGTACCTAGTACACTAGACTTAAGATGCTCAAGAGAGAGGAGAAAAACAAAACATGCAAATTAGTTAGTGAATCACATAATTCAGTCCTGAGATAAAATAACTCATTTCAAATATTGATGGCATTAGAAAAACATAAAACCACTCTTCCACAGTTCTGTACAGCAGGACAAGTCCTAGAGAAATAATAAAGGAAACAAGAAGGAAACACTCGCTAATCAACTCAGGTGTCTAATAAGACATAAGGCCTGAATACCAGAATAGAAAGCTTATCCCAATATTGAGCTTACTCCCATTAATTCATTTTTTGCCTTTTGATTTTCATCCTCTCATTATGCCAAGTTTTTTTAGACAAGTTCCACATCATTTCATACTATTCCCATAACATTGATTTGCCCAACATTGATTTACTAAGCAACTATTTTGCCAACATTCTCAATTCCATAACACAAGCAGCTAGTTCAGTCCTTCTTAGCTGCCCATGACTTATTAAGTGTTACTTAGATTGCAATTTTCTAAAATCAACCCAACAGCAACGGCTCTTTTCACTCCAATGTGCAAACCAAATTTAACTGATAAAACATTTAAATAGCTAGTTAATGAATTCCTCTCAATCCAACCCTTTTTTCTAATGGTTAAACTAATTTTTCAGAAAAAAAATTCTTTACGCTTCATTTGGTAATGTTATGAATTTTATGAATTTTATAATGTGTTGTCTTATATTGCATGAAATAAAGTAGTCACCATACTAGGCAGCGATAACCAATTAAATCCGAAAGGGAGCCTTCCATAGTCATAAAACCATGGATGGGGCTGCAGAAACAGGGTAAGAACTTTGGCTAAGCATTTCCATCTAAATTTAAAAAAAAAATTAAAACGGAATGCTAAGCAGTGCTCTTTTTTGTGCCACATATCAACAATAAAAAAAAATTAACACATTAAGCGAAGCAATTTAAAGCGTTCTTCCTTTTTATTTACTCTGCTAAGCATTGTTAAGCTAATTTACAAGGATAGACATATAACCGGAAATCAAACTTGAACTATGTCCAAATATAAATCTTAATATTAAATAAAAATATAAGTTATAAGCAAGTCCATGTGGATGTGCACTAGAACTAAATCCATGATGCAATGCGTTACGACATTGCATGCGTAAAGTTATACCTGATTGGTTCATTCTAGTAAATTGTTTCCTGCATTTGAAAAGAAATTTTTTTTAAAATAAAAAGTTTACAAAGCATTTAGATACAATTAAATTAATATAAAACGAGATAGTTACAATAATGTAATCAATTAATAATAATCTATTAAAATTTTTATAGCAATATAACATAAACAACGGGAAAAAAAGACAAATTTATTGGCCATTACTCTTTTAATAAGTGATATTTATTTATTTTACACACCATATTAAAGCAGGAATGTTCAATTGAATCTTTTGGCATTACTTCCAGATGTGTATACAAAGAAATAGTCATCATGGGCTGGAAAAGATGCTAACAAGCCTAAAAAGTCTTGACAACCCATTTCTTCGAAACCCAATTGCTCAGTATCAACTGTTGAGTACCAGTTGCCAAGTATCAGCTGATGAGTACCAGCTGCCGAATACCAACCGCCCAGTACCACTATCGAGCCTTAGTAGTCGAGCATGAATGAGCAAGCAGTCTGCGCCCGACCGTATTCAACTATCAGCTCTCTATGTCACATCAACAAACATCACATTATGCTAAATTTATTTAATATGGACTCTTTGTAAGTCGAGAAGAGAGGAAGACTATCTCAAGCCTTATAAAAAGAAACGATTTCCTACTCTTAGAGGGAACTTTTTTCTTCTTCTTTATCAGAGTGTGCATTCCAGCCCTCTTCGCTTCCTCCATAAATCTTAGGTAGATTGTATGAGCTCACGAACATTTCGGGATCCAAAAAAATGAATGGCATGTTACTTCATTTTATAAGCCATTTGTGGTTAAGCAATCCATCCCACTATCAAAAAACTTAAATCTCATCAATCGACATACATCTATGTGCAAGGATCCACCACCATGTCAAAAACAACAGTGTTTGGCCCTCTGCTCTTCAATGATAGACAAACTTCTTTATTTCTATAAGCATCAACCTTAGCAAACTTTTGAACCATCTAGTGACTATGCGGTAATCAAAGGAGGTTTGCTTCTTATAAGCTGAATCCCAAAAATTTTTTGAAATATAGAGATATTGCTATGGCACCAACCCGCATCTCCAAGTTGACAATGATGGCATATGCTCTGAATTGTCATCATCTACCCAAAGATCTACGACCACATCATCCAAATTTAGCGCTTGCTCCTCAAACGGTATTATTGTTTAAGACATGCCTCATATAGCTTAACCGCTCACTCCTTCATGGATATACTTCCAATAATTTCTATGTAGCTTTATTGCATATCCTGAAACATGTTTGCTCACCCCCACTAGGCGTCAACGCATAATCAATTCCATTTTCTCTTTAAAAAAATGCATATAAAGCTCAATCGCCCCACCATTGGCATTATCAACAAGCATATAAGTACTTAGAAAACCTTGGAGGGTATTAATTCTCTCAAAGAGAATGTCATTTATAAGATTACTCTAACCCTAATTTAACATTAGGAGGCAACTGATAGAGCTTCCTCACATTTACAAAAAGCTTGACTCCATTTTAAGAAACATACCTGTGAAAATTCTAAAGTGGTTGTTCTCCAAAGTCGCTGAGATAATCACACAATTGAAGCATGTGTCTAGGTCATAGTCATGAGCAAACTCCTACAATCAATCATGGAGAAGGTCTGCTAAGGCCTAAGACTTCGCCATAACCCCAAATAGACTCCCTTAAATCCCACATGTTGTTATCGTACTCAAGGCAAAATCTCACATAATAGTCCTAACCAGACTCCTTCATTTTGTCTTAAGTAAGTTTGTGATCATTGAATCATAAGTCAAAATAACATCCCCAAGCAAAATCTTGAATTCAGTATCAAATGAGGTAATTCTATGGTCATTGTGGTATTAACACAAGTCAAACTTTAGTGGAATCTTGATTAATTTCTACACAAGATTGTGGTCATTGAAGTTAGGGCTGTCAAAAAAGCAAATCGTTCGTGAACAACTCGTGTTTGATTCGTTAAGCAGCCCGTCTTTGATTGTTCATTAAGCAAGGGAGCCGAACACAAACAAAGGTTTGTTTGTTCTGTTCGGCTGGCCTTGGCTCGAAATAATTAAATAATTAAAAAAATATTTAATCATCTCATTTTTATATTAATTTTTTATATTATATTTTAAAAAAGCATATAAGAGATTTGGAGGGTATAAATGCAAATCGTAAAACTTAAGTGTTAGATATGTAAATAGTTAAGAATTGGTTGGTATGTACTTAAATGCCCAAAAGAAAAAAAAACAATCGTAAGCCTAATCCCATCTCACGATATGGCTATCAAAAAAGCTCATTGCTCGTAAACAGCTCATATTCAGCTTGTTAAGCGGCTCGTGTTCGAATCCTTTGTTAAATAAATGAGTCGAACAAGAATACTTTTTTAAACTTGAATTAAACGAGTCAAACACAGATAAAAATAAATTTTAACGAGCCGAACACAAACAAATTTTGGGCTCACTCAAGCACGACTCGCTTACGCCCCTAATTGAAGCATACACCCTAGTGATAACCCAGAGTGGGTGGTCAGTTTGTCAAAGCATTAGATGATGCGACAACCTCAATGCACTTTACCATTAAATACTGAACGAGGTTTTGATTGCTAAGGAATTACAATAGACCGCGTCCTTGAGCAAAGTCCATTCAATCAATCCAATGAGAGGTTTGGTACAACATGGTATTAGCATAGGTCACAACCCTTAGCAAACTCCTTCATGCAACCCTAATGAGGCTGCAACCAACAAGGGCACAAGTCAAAATAACAAACCAAGGAAATTACTTCATTCAATCTTATGAGAGGTTTATAGCCATTGAGGCATTCACCAAGGTCATGAGCCATTAATATATTTAACAATTCAATCCTAAGCTAGGTTATGGCCATTGAAACGTACGCCTAAGCCACACCACTGAATGAACTTCTCAATTCAATCTCGTGAACAAAGTTATGGTTGTTGAGGCCTAAAATTAAGCCACAACCTCGAGCAAACTAATTCATTCAATCACAAAGTTATGGCCACCAAGGCTCCCCAAGCGGACTCTTCATCAATCTTAGATGAGATTATGGTCGTTATGGCCGCAAAACAGACTCCTCAATTCTATAATAGATGATCTCCAAACAATTATGCTAAGGTAAACGCCAATTTGAACTTCACTCCTTCAATACTATATATGGTTGTAGTCTTTGGGACAAAAGCCCAAACCACAACCTCAAGTTAGCTCCTTAATTCAATCCCAAGTGATATGACAGCCAAGGCATCAATTCGAGTCACAACCCTAACCAGACTCACATAGTCAATCTCATATAAAATTGTGTTCG